TCTATTCAATATTTTTGTTGCTATCCGGTGTTCCCGCTGCTCAATTTCACTGTAGTTTAGCGTTTCAAGCCACTCGAAACTCGAAATTTGGATTGAAAAAAATAATTTTTTCCACCAAAATTGCGGCTAGAAAAATTTTTCAAGGGTTTTTTTGTCGACCGTATCTGGGAAGCGGCTGGCTTGTTATTTCACCACCATCCATCCACTCATACAGTCGGTATTTCGCAAGATGTTGGTCGGCCGGAGAAACGCGCGATCCAAGAGCCCGACGGAATATCGAATGAACCTAGAGCCCCCCCAACTGAATACCGATCAACCGGAAGGCTCAACTGAATACGGATCAAACGGAATTTCCGACCATAACAGCCCTCCAAACAGCGACACTGAATATAGATGAAGCCGCCCACGGGAGCTGTCTATATAAAACGGCTGGTCCAAGACTTTCCTTTACTCCTCTACGCCTCGGCCGAAGCCTAACTGTAAAGTGTTTTTACTCAGGCTGGCGTTTTGGAATGGGACCAAGACTATCTTGTTCAGAATTTTTTGCTGATTCCGAATCCGTTTTCCAAATTTGCTGCGGACTTCGCGTTGAAAAGTCATTTTTGGTCTAAATTAAGCCTAAAAACGGCATAAATTCGGATGCTGGCCCACTATTCCATGTCTGGGTCCAGGTATTGTTGTGCCCCTTAACTACCCTCCCGAAGCCCCCTTCCCAGTTGGCACCATGGTGCAGTGGTAAGCTGTTCGCTTATCAGGCACAGGGCGGCGGTTCGATCCCCGCCCTGCACAATTTCTTTTGCTTTTTGCACAAAAACACATGATTTTTTGCATAAAATCGTGCTTTGACCTCTACAACCATTACCGAGCCAATCTAATGCCTAAGACCAGGGACGTAGCGTAATACAGGCCCCGGGGGCCCGGCCCCCCGAAATCGGCCGGGGCCCGAAAATTTCATAAGGGGGGACCCTTATGATTTTTATTTTCTCAAAAATTTTGCTGCCTGCGGCGCTATTTTTTCACGTTTTTACGGCTATTTCTAGAGCTACGCAACCTTCTTTCCAAAAATTTTTGCCTGCGGCGCTGTTTTCTCGTTAATGTTTTGAGTTTTTTGGAAAAATTTTTTGGGGGCCCCCCCCGAAATTTTTTTCTGGCTACGCCCCTGCCTAAGACTAAGCCAAGCCTAAACCTAGGCCTAACCTAAGCCTAAGCCTAAGACTAAGCCGAAGTCTAAGCCGAAGTTTAAACCTAAGCTTAAGCTCAACCCCCCAAAGGCCCGAACGTCCCAAAACTTTCAATAGTAGTCACATTTTAGATAGTAGAGCTTCTTAAACAGTTTGAAAATGTTTGTGAAATTCAGAATTCCGGATCATTTTAGGTCCAAAAAAACGAATTTCTACCAAAAATAGAATGTTTGAAATAAAAATTTAGAAGGTTTTTGGGTTTTAGGTTTTTACTTTCTCTATTTATCGAAAAATCTGGAATTCGACCGAAAAACACGTGCTATTTCCGTGGGAACAGGGAGATTTTTGGGCTGAAAATTCGATATTTTGTATTTTTGATGAAAATGTAAACTTTTTCGTCTCTATTATTACAATCACTCTTTTTTAGCATAATTGGTTGATTATCATTTTATAATAGGTCCGCTTCGACCACGACTTCGACGTCAAGATGGACCCCAACCGCGAGGTAAGTTGCATTCTTACACTTAAAACATTAAAACCTTTCCTTAGGCCGAGAACCGACGCAGAAACGAATGGGAGGCATTCAAAAGACAGGTAAGCATTTCAACTTTTCATGATAACAACGTTTTTTGGTTCTTTTTCACTAACGGGGAAGGGGTGCAGCCTCTTTTCCGGCTAGCCTTTACTTCACCCCGGTTTTGGGCAATTCCAGCCATTTTTTGTGGTTTTCGCTAAGCCATACGATAGAGCATCAAAGATACGAAAAGTTTTAATTACAGCCCAAATAAATGTAAGATAAAAAAGTTATAGCGAAAAACATTTTGGGACTTGCGGCTGGGGGAGGATAAAGTAAAGTAGTCCGGTTATGCCTAGTGACGTAACAACAATTGTTTTATTCGTGTTTTTGGTAATTGTTCAGTGCCAAAAATTATCAAAAATTATTGCTGGGAAAAATTATAAATTTAGTCGAAAATCGATATTTTTGCCTTTTTAAGATCGAAAGTTGTAATTTTTAACGTTTAAGAATAGTGGAAACCGTTACCGCTTTCTGTATTTATGTAGAATAATTGTATCTTTAGAAAAGTCACCCCACCCGTTAATGCGAAAGAACCGGGTCTATATTCAAGGTGTAGCTTTAAACTAAATTGCGTTTTCCAGGCGATCGCAGAGAAGATAAAAGCAACCATGGATTCAAACGTTTGTGTTATTTTTACTTTTTATAAAAAAATAGTGTTGGTATGTTTGTCTGTCTGTTTGTCTGTTTCTCAGTCTCTGTCTGTCTGTCTGTCTGTCTGTATTTCTGTCTCTGTATGTCTGTCTGTCTCTCTGTCTGTCTGTATTCCTTCCTTTCTCTGTCTCGATGTCTGTCTGTCTATCTGTCGATACTAGGTTCACCTTTTCTGAAATTGTTGTTAGTTCTTATTGTTTGCTGTCTGTTAGGAAACAATTAGGCTTTTCCGGAAGTGGGCGGAAGCGAGCTTTTCCTATTTCCCATAATTTCTTTTATGGTGGCTTGGGGGCGCTTTTGCAGTATCGGGGGGGGTTAAGTCCAGAAATGCTTCGTAACCTGGGATTATTTAATAATAATCATAGTAAGCAGCTAAAAACAGTGAAGCAACCCTTCGGAAAAATTTTTGACTACCAAGGAAAATTTAAAAGCTGCAATTTTAAAGAAAGCTCAAAATTAAGTAAAAATTGGAAATTTTTGGTCGAAATTTGTATATTTTTTGTATTTTTTACAGAAAAATAGATTTTTATATAAATAGTGGAATTGTTTCTAAACTGTTTATAGCTATTCCTAAGCATAAAAACTTTCCAAAATTTAATTAAACATTTTAATTCTAGGTCGAAAAATCAATTTTTTCGGCCCAAAAATGACCAAATTTTCGACATTTTCAAGCGTTTTTCTAATTTTTAAAAAGTTTTTCCTATTCAAATAGGCTTAATTTGTGCTAAAAACAATATAAAAAGATTGTTTACTATCCTCGCCAGGGCCGAAAGGAAAAAGTAAGTAAAGTATTAATATTTAAAACTAGCTTTATCTAAAAAAAGTTATTTTGATTTTTGCCATAGCCATTTTATATTACAACCAGCGCCCAAAACCCGCTTCGCGGGCCTTGGGCGCTGGAATTGTGCCTTTGCATGAAAAATTTGACTTTCCGATAGCTCGGGTCCTTCGGACCCCCTTCCCCCACCGACCACACACGCGCGTGCAAATTGCAAGAATGAGCTGATTTGTAATTTTTCAGATTATGCAAATTACCCCCAAAAATGAATAAAACCGCTTTAACTTTGTAAAATTGTATTTTATCGAAATTCTGAAAACGCCACCGGAAAGAGGAGGGTCGATTCCCCCAAGTGACAAAAAATCAGCGCATTTTATCCAGGGGAACGCCCTCAAATCGGGCCTCGAAGGTGACATCCACACACACACACACACAAAGATACACGCGAAAATTATACAGGGTGGGCAAAAAAAAAGATCCGAGTTTGGGTCAAAATATCTCGCGAACGGTAGAGAATCGAAGGTACGTTACCATGCCAGAATGCTTAAATATGCTGGGTATGAAGATTTAACCCAACTTGATTTTTTCGATTTTTGGGTACGAAACTGTACTATTGACGCTGGTTACGACCGAAAATTGTGCGTTCTTGAACGGGTGGTGGGAAAATTCGGATTTTTGGCCTAAAAATAGTATGAATTTGTAGAAATATAATGACAAAATCTTAGAATTTTTCGAGGCCTATTCCATTTTCTAAAAACAAAACAATTTTCGCGATTTTTCGTTATTTTTACTCTTTGAGTCATAACTCACTTCTAACTCACTGCCCATGGCTGCTTTTTTGCCAATGAATTATCCAAATAGTAATCTAGGATCCCACACCAGAACCCAACACAATCTATGGTATTTTTGTATTGCTTACTAAAACGTGCCCCAGTGGGGTACTGTAGGTTTCGTTTTTCCCGCTTTTCTCGGCTCCTCTAGCTTCGATCCGACTGAAATTTTTTGGGTTGTTAGGCAATACGTAGTGGCACCTTGCTGCCAAATACGAGAGCGTACTATCCACAAACTTTCATGAAAAAGACTAAAAACTGATTTTTTAATTCTGCCACAGAATCTTGTAAATTTTTTGGTCAGTTGCACCAAAAACTGTTAATATTGCTTTTACCGAAAGATCGAAACGATTCCATGGCAAAAACACCACGAAAATCGCGAATTTCGGTTTTCTACAGTAACCCCCGCGGAGCGCGTTTTAGCATGTCATCACAAAATTCCATAAAGTGACGATTTTTCAATTCGAGGACCTTCTAGAGTTGATTGTAAGACAGCCTGTCAAAAATTACTGATTTTGGGTGGTAAATAATAAAGTTACGAGGCCAAGTGCAAAACCAGGCCAGAGAGCCGATTTTGGGTCCGAGTAGCCGAGTCAATTTTCGAATTTTTAAAAATAAAAAAACCACCTAAGTCTTCTGAATACGATTATAGCTTTGATGTTATGATTTACGCCTGTCAAATTCCGGAGCAATCAGATTCAAAATTATGGTGACTTTCAGCACTCAATCGAAAATCACCCTGTTCCAAAATCGAAATTTAAAATTCTTCTGACAATTTTTTCGACGCGAAATTGTTTTAGTCTTTGCATAGTTTTATTCAACTGATAGCACTGATTTATTGCTCAAAATATCCCTACGACTCAACCTTCCAAAAAATTTTTACGCAACCTCCAATTCGGTTTATTTCGGGTTTTGATGAATTTTCTTTTCGCCAACGGCTGGTTAAAAAAAAATTCATAAATAAGGCTTTAGGATGCGCTATTCAAATAATATCAGATAAAATTAAAATGACAATTTTCATGGCGCTGTTAAAATTTATAAATTGTTAGCGAGTTTTGAAAAAAAGCACGAACCAACTGTTTTGGAGGCCCTAAAGGACGCCCTTCCAAAGGGGCACGGTGGCTCGAAATTTTGTAGATGGTAGATAAACCCCAGTTCTACATAACCAAAAAAAGAAAATAGCTGGGTCTCCTTTGGCAATTTAGAAATATTTTTCCAAAGTTCGGTTCCGAGACCTCGAAAAATCCATGACCCGGGGGTCGTTGAAAAACTCGAAAATTCATCGATCTCGAAAATTTTTTAAGTGTATTTATGCGGTTGTATAGGGTCCGTAGTTATTCTACAACAACTTATTTTGATGTTTTGGCCATAGGTTTTTGTAATTTTCGAAATTTATGAAATTTCCCCATACAAAATTTCATTTCTCTATAACTTTTCAACCAGACCCTCAAAAATTCTTAAATTTTGTAGGTGCATATCTACTACCGGCATTAACTTAAATAGGAAAAATTAGAACCCAGCCACCACAGGAAACTGCGAAAAATGCAAATGAAGTTTTGCGGAACGCACAGTTTTCGGGTGTCATTTGTATTGATACGTCGCCAAAAATCGAAAAAATCAAGTTGGGTTAAATCTTCATACCCAGCATATTTAAGCATTCTGGCATGGTAACGTACCTTCGATTCTCTACCGTTCGCGAGATATTTTGACCCAAACTCGGATCTTTTTTTTTTGCCCACCCTGTATAAGGTAGGATATTTTGAGTATTACAATATTTTGAGCTGCCGTAAAAACTATTTGTCTATTTTTGATGCTCTAACGGATGGCACACAAAAAATCCCAAAAATATCGTAAATACCGAAGACTTTGGGACCATTCGGTTGGCGGGGGGGCAAGCAAACCGTCGCCGGCCTTTTTTATTCTTAATTCATATCGTGGCAGATCGAACGGCTCGATCAAATAGCTCGGGAGCTCGAGCAGGCCCGACAAGAGAATCGCCGGGCAATGGTGAGTTTCGAAGTTGTAGCATGACCCTGCATTTAACCAGGAGGCGGCAAACCAGAAGAACGGATGCGGCGCGGCGGGATCTTCCCAACACGAGAGTAATTTAATCATTTATTCGATCAATATTCTTTAGAATACTAGACGAAAGCCGCCGCCGTCGAATTGTTAACCTTGAGAATTTTTTTTGCGCGCATCCCCCTCGGATTTAAAATAAAGCGCTTTAAGGGAAATGCTTGTAAGCTCACAGATCACCCCACAGAGCACGAAACACGCCGCAACACAGCAATATAGCTCGTAAAAAGAGTTTTCAAGTTTTTTACTACTTGATTTTGCGTCGACGCTCTGAAAAACCCTGAAAAGTTTAATGCCCATCTAAACAAGACGAACCAAATAAAGTGATAATTTGGACGAAAGCTAGAAAACTTAAGAGGAAGTATTTTTAGTTAGAAACGAGAAAAACTATCTAAAAGCTTCCAAAAAAAGGTAGAAACTTTAGTCGAAGTTGGCCACTTTTGGTTGAAGAATCGATATTTTTTTACGTTTTTCCAATCGAAATCGGTAAAGTTTTTGGTTTTTGAACAAGGGAGAAACAGTTTAAAAACATTTCCGTTATCTCCATGCCCAAAATGTTAGAAAAAATTGGTCCCCCCGATAAG